GATGGTTTAAGCTGTTCATACATCTATGGAGTAATGATGCATTTTTGCTTCAATTTCGTCAAAGTTTTAGATAATTCCTTCTCAATATTATCTGATCAGGTGATTTTAGAAATTTTTCTTCATCACTCAGGATGGTACATAATTTATTGACATAATCATCACGATTAAGAATAACATTACCTGATCCCTTGTCTGGACGAATCAGTATTATGTTTTTGTTGTTAAGCAATTCATCAAGTTGTCTTTTGTGTTCTTTTGATAACATTTGTCGTTGTCTGCCTTGCGTTCTTTGGTACTGGTAATAACAATGAAGTAATGAAGATTTGAATTGTTCAACGTCTTCGCTAGACATTGGACTCAAGTCAAGTGCTTGATTCGTGAGATTTTCAAACTGAACTTTTGTGTCTAATTCGTTGACTCTGGACGAAACAGTAGAGAACTTCAGACCCAGAGATAGGATTTGCATTTGAATATCCGACAAAGTTAAATTAGAATAGTTAAAAACGTATTTCTCTGGCGAATCCGGAAACTTAAAGTGAGATTCGATTGTTTTACAACTTTTCAGTATATTTATTTTAACATCTTCAGATCGTTTCTTTATAACGTCAGAAATATAATCCTCAAACAGGCTACATTCTGTCTCTGTCAGTTCAAACAAGAAATGCCTGCTTTGAGATACGTTATTCTCAAATTCCGGAAGACGCGTTTGTATGGCATCGATCAGGTTCAACGCATGACGCTTAAGGGTTCGACCGTTTGGATAAATATGATTACGGCGTAAAACTTTCCAGTAAAATTTTGGATATTCTCCATTCTTAATGCAGCTTTTGAGAGTATCAGAATTAGCATTCGCTTCCGCGAGCTTGACAGAATATCGTAGAAACTCACTAAGTCCCTTTACTGTCAATCGGTCCTTGCACGCCTTTAAATCTCAAAAAATACCCATTTATTCATAAGTAAAAACACAGTTTTTGTTCAGTGAAGAAATTTCTTTTCAATGAGTTCATTTTCAATCTGTACAGTCGTATTTATATTGCAGAAAAATGTTATTAAGTGGCACTAAATAATTGCTCAGTCAATGTACGTATATATGTGATAAAAGTTATAAGGGGTAGAGTTGAAGTGGATAAATTACAAAAATATTAAAGATTGTTCTATAACAAAAATGTCAAGTGTTGTCTAAAAATTTTGAAATTAGGAGTACGATCACGATAAGAATGAAGATGTGAAGTGGAAAGAATTCAAGTGGTAAAATAAAAAAAAACTAGAAGGAACATTATTATGACCAAGGTAAAGAAAGGGGTTTGACAAAACGCTTTTGAATACATAATTTAGGTTTCTGTTCATGTATAGCTAAAGCTTCGGCTATGCATAAGTGAAAAAAACGTAAACTTTTGGATCGAATCGATTTTGCCATGTATATAACTTTGAAAGATGAATCACGTGGGGCTAAATGACCAGACTCATACAGGTGATCACAAATAGACGACTTTGCAGTTCTACGTTCGCCTTTCATTAACCAAACCGGATAGTGTTTAGCTACACGTTTTCGGAGATTACGCTTACAACTTCGAATATAAACAGCTCCACAAGAGCAAGTAAAAGAGTAAATGTACATAGATACACATAGACGTTTGAATTTTAGATGAAGATGTAAGGCGGTATCTAACACCTATTACATGCTGAATGATAACCACACACTAATGATTAAAAATCACGAAAGGAGACGGATTTGATTAGTAATAACGTGAGTGTTCACAAGTTTAGATGTTCTCAAAAACTACTATCAACCGATTATATTATTTTTTCATAAGTTTAGAATTTTTCGATATACTACTATCAATCCATTAATAATGAAGCGCAGTCTGGGATCTCCAGACAATCCACCATTATTTATCTCACATTTAGGTTGAATCTTTTCTAATCACAACTGAATGTGACTCATGTATTCTATGAGTATAATTTGTTCGGACACTGCCCTTTCTCTCATACAAAATAAACTGCATCAGTTAAGTTTGCGATGAGGACACCATTTTAAGTAGCTCACCATCACGGTGCGCAGTAATTTGATGATATTAAATGATTGAATGCAATCAACAGGGGGCCTTGGACCTAGATTTAGTGCTAGTTGGCACTTGTTAGCAAGGCATATCTCCAATCTTGAAAGAACTCCTTTCCTCTCTTAGATTTGAACCCGCGTCACCTATGACTGGAGTCAAAGATGTTACCAGTGAACGCTAGTGCTCGCGATTTGCCTCCTGTTAGACAGTATTGGATAATTTGGTTGGAGACTAGTAATTGATGTGCTCTGTCTTGTCTCCAAGTTTATCTGCTAAGCAGTGATAATTACTTGTGGAGAGCGTTACTACACCCAGCGCCAGGTTAACTGATATTTATATGTGAAACCTTTTATCAAAGGAAGGAGAAGGAATTCCACAAACCAGAAACCTAGAAGTGATTCTTATACAAATTTTTAAAATATATCGTGCACAATATACAGCTAACAGGACAAGTGAGTTCACGATTGCCTTATGTTTAACTGAGAATAATTCAATGATATGTATGTAATGTTTCATTCAATTTTTATCGAAAATATCTGTCGACAGTTTCATAGGTTGCAAAGAAAGCACTAATATTTATATGAGTGTATTAAATGGCTCTTTTTCGACTCATATTTAACTAAATAAACCTCTCAGATTTGAAGACGCCATTCTGAACACCTTCATATAATACTTACTCTGCAGCACAGACTAAGTGGCGTAGTAGACATGTATCAGATATCAACATGTGATGTGACCTTCTTGGCTTTCTTAGCTGTGGGATAGTTGTGTTGTGTTATCATTTGGTGATGCGTCGGTAGACGTTCTCGGATTCGATGCAACTGCCTGATTCATTTGATTTACACTCTGTCAGATATGACTGCGTTGCACCTTCCTAATTTTCCCTATTTAGTGCCTAAATTTAGCCGCTACTCATTACGTATTCAGCATCATTATAAAATATGGTTGAAATTGCTCTTATTTCAGACAGTAAATCTCTTCGAAAATGGTCAATAGTCGCTGATAGTATAACTATCGTGGTAGATGTTGTGATCACTGTTAAAAACAGTTTCTCAGAGGGCCTTCGAATCAGCCGCTGATACTCCACTAAGAAATCCATCTGGTCACACCATACCGAGGATCTAGAATAAAAGGGAACATTCTGTGAATAACTTGTGTCTTCTTCCTCAAAATGACATGGAGTGATGAACGCCGTTCCAAATTCCTTTGAAGATAGCGTTTACTCGTCCTCATAATCATACTAGTCTTTTCTGTAAAATGTTCTTCCCGCGCATCTGAATGGTGCTTCTCTTTCCACCCATACCGTTTTAAGTTTGTATATCAAGTGAAAAAGTAACCAAAATTTCACTGCTTTCGCAGTCTAATTAGTGACTGTAAGTATTTGATTACGGATGAGAAAATCAAGCAAATTTGATGGCTGATACCATCAGGGTTCATAAGTTCAAGTGTTCTCAACTAATTACCTTGAACTGGTTAATTGTAAAACTTGAGCTTAAAACTTCAAACGAGTGAAATTTTATCTATAGTATATTCAAATCAACTCGAGTTCGACCACAACTGAGTGTGAGTCAATTTATTCTTTGAATTTGTTCACGAAGTGGTAAGAAGACTCTTTTGATTGCTAAACAAAGTTCTCTGCCATTCTACACAACACTTTCCTATCACGTAATCCATACAATCTAAAAACAGAATGATTTCATTATTAAATCTGTGGCCCATCAAAAGTTCATCGAAAACCTCTGTTTGCAATTTCAAAGATTCCAACGGAGACAGTAATGTTGATATGAGGGGATTAAGTGACTCTTATGTTAGGTTTTGTTTAGTTTACTATACCCCTTAGGTTTGAAAGACAAAACAAAACAATTTCCCTGAGGCACAGACTAAGTGATGTCATTACGACGTGCATGGCTAATATACAACCTAATGTCCGCAGGATCAGTTTGCAGTGACTAAGTCATTTTGTCTCCGTCCAGACGACTTCTGACCTTTAATCCCAATGCAAATAGAAGAGATTCTGTCAAGTTATTTAATTTCAAAATAGAGTGTGCCCCGACAATAAACTCTCATGCAAGCTTGTTACCTAATGAATTAAGCAGTTACTCCGTATCCCTCTTTCTTCCTGTATTGACAGGGATTCGATGGTCTGTGGCTAGATAAGTCAGCGTCTTACTCTCTTCGGAAGCTTCAGTCGCACTGAAAGAATGTTCAAAATTATTGACAGTAAGCCTTTCCTATTTGAACGCAGTAGTGGTAACCGTTGGACGCAGATGAGCACATTCACTCTGCTTTTATGCATTTTGTTTCACTGGAATGAAATTAGGAATATGGTCGATCACCACATTAATAGGGGTTTCGGATTATTCGCGAAGCTTCTTTTTCTGAAAATCTGTGAAGTTGGACAATGTCTGCTTTTATTTTCTGCTATAAGGGCTCCTTTTCGTATGGACTTCATCGATAAATGGTATCGATCTATGTATTTTTTGTAAATATCTTGATTCACTCTTCACGCATTTCAGGATTCCGTCACAGTTGATTTCTTACTAAATGAACCTAAGTTTTATAAATAAACCATGCTAGCCTGATATATTTAACATAACCTTGTTTAATAGAAAATCTCAACAGAAATCTTTGACAGAAAATCAAACTTCGTGTTCGACATATGATCTTCAAGAAAATGGTATGTTTGTCAGTGATGCATCGCTTTCATGTCCAGCCAATTTTAATTGAACACTCAGACGAATATTAGCGATGTTGCTCACATCACATTTAAAGAAACTGACAGAAAATCAACCGTAACATTGCGAAACACATCACGGATATCACGTCGATATCTTAATATTATCTGCGTGATTTAGTCAGCATATTCTTGGAGGTTATGTTACGTTATGTTAACATTTCGTGGTACAATATATCTGTAGAAGTCACAAATAGTAACAGTTTTTATTCATGTTTTTGTAAAGGCACTTTCGAATGTTTTTGTTTAACACATGTTGATGCAGATACAACATCTTTATCACTCGATAATGTATTAATTGACGACTGAAGTTGATGTGTAATACACACCTCATAAGAAAATTTTTGACACTGCCAACTTTGACTTTCACTTAGGTAAAGATGATTTCAAAACACTGCGAATTGTCTTCAAAGATTTAAGGCTCTTTCATGCTGAAAGATGCTGTACACACGTTCACATGATTAGTGAAGCCACATATTTCTCGTCGTCATGAACATTTGGTAAGGCGTCTGTTCAGAACACTTTAACGCAGGAGTTCAGTTCGACCTGCACCAAGACTCTTAATTTCAGTTAGTAAGTAAAGAAGGGGGTTAAAAAATCTCCATCTTTAAAAACTAATTCGTGTACCCGAACTGATAAAGGTATCGCTACACCACAGTGATCTTTGATTTCCCTGACACATATGTTGACGAAGAAATGCATTTTTCTTGTGTTCACATTATTATTATTCCCTTAGGTCCCCACTGGAACATACGGCTTCAACTACACGTCTCCACTTGCCACTTCTGTCTTCTGCTGTACTTTTCACCTGCATCCATGTTAGTCCATATTGTTTCAACTCAGCATACTGTTTCACACGATCTACTCCACGTCACCCTTGGACGTCCTACTCGACTCTTCACTTTCGGGTTCCACTCGGGGGTCTGATGCGCGATGTCACCAACCGGCCTCCTCAACGAGTGTCCAATCCATATCCACTTTCTCCTGCAAATTTGCTAGGCGATTGATTCTTGTTTTGTTTGCTCCCATAGTTTCTTGTTGGTGATTCTGTCTGGCCATCTGATCTTCAGTACAGAGCAAAGAAAATTGTTGCGTTCTAATAGTCCATATTTAAATATTTTGAATTTATCCAAAGTTAGCTCACAGAAGTAACCGCCGAAATACTCGCTGTACACCTTATCAGGATTCTAGTTGCCAGTTACCTAGAGTTATACAAAGATTTATCAGGGAGTAGAAGTCCTAATTATATAGTGTAATGCACTGAACCATTATGTGATCTTTTCAAAAGACAGTTAGGAAAATAGAAACAAATTTCATTTCATATTACCAGTACTCATAACATTTTCGTCGCAGAAAAACACAACTAGTGAATTTATAATACGACTAATGACTTCAAACACCACAACATGAATCTGTCCTTGTATGAAAGTTATTGAATCAATCAACCGAATTGAAGTGAAAGTGAGTTGGTGAGTCTCCATCTCTTGATACGTCTATGCCAGTCCCGATGTTCATTAGCGTGCTAATTCTGATGAAATTATTGACTGAGTAGAATGAATTTACTAACTTCCGGCCAATATTGCTCAAAATTCATTAGGAAATCAAAATTAAGGACATAGCATAATAATAGATAACATTCGAGGTTGTTGCCAGCTAACAATCTTCTCGCAGACTTATAGGTATCTTCACAAATGTGGCAACAGAGAATGGGACAAAATTCAAATCGAAGACTAGGATTTTGATAAATAAAACCCTTAATAATTAATTAAAGATGGAAAAAAGAAAAATCTAAAACACAGTCATCGGGGGATTGCATGAATTCAATAAATAAAAACCATTGCCTTAAGCCAGTAGGATAAAATTCAATCGACAGCTGAAACAGTACTATAAGGTAATTTTCTGCCCAAAGAACACGATGCTGCACCTGACAAATTCTATATGTATATATCAGTTCACCTGCCGCTGTGGAGCCACGTTTACTGGTTGTTCAACGCGCATCCTGTCGAGAACGCTCAAAATACACTATCCAGCATGGCTGCAGGAAGGAAGCAGTGGCCGTATAAGAAGCGCAATAATCGGATATCTCGTCACCAATGGTCATTCCATTTCAACAAACACCCCCTTCAAAGTAATCTATAAAGTGATGAACAACATGTCAAACGAAATACGTTTCCGTCTTCTTTGTATTGCAGAAGTCAGAATAACCAGAACTATGTTTAAAAAAGAAAATCATTTAACCACTTCAACTACAATGGTAACAACTCTTTTGATTTGACTTAACTTCTACTTGTTTTCTTAATTTGACTTAACTTTTCTTTGTATGCTTATTTTTGTCTAACTTATTAAAACGCTTGATTGATTCCGTGTGTTATTTTGTTTCCATGTACACCGTGAGCTTAAACGTAGTTTGAATAATTTACAACTAGATAATGGCTAAAACGTTGTTTGTTTTGAAATTGTCAGTTTGCATACTCGTACACGAATAAATATGGCTATTCAAGCGCTCCGTAAGCTCCACAACGCATACAAATAACATGGATATAAATTGACATCTAAAATCTTTTCCCTGACTCTTCAAAAATCTACAATAATTTCATTAAGAGTGAAAGTGACATGACCTCACCTTACACTAAATAAATATTGAACTAATTCAATAATGTTAAAACGGCCAATGTTGCATGATTTTCTAGAAAATCGAAGAGGTGATAAGAGTTTGAATAAGCATACCTGCAGATACATTTCAGAACTAAACTTCTCGTTTCATTCAGCTGTCATCGGTAACGTTAGACGATGAGCTCAAGTTTCACGGAACATATAAGATCTGCGTCGTAGTTCTTCTGAGACAATACTACCATGCCTATTTGCCTAGTGAGCCCAGTTAATGTGATTGTTACGATTGACTGAACTAGATTGATCAGATTTTAGGCCTTCATTGTACGCAGAGATGACATCTTGAACTCAGACTGCATTGTTAAGTGGACCTTTCGTTTCTTGAAGTCACTGTTAATAATAGTAGTGTCAGTAATACCACTAACCAGGAATTTGAACTTTGTTAATTGTAACTTCATCTCGGTTATCTGAATTGGGCATCTAGAAGACAAATTTCGCGAGATGATATCATTTCATAGTGAAAATCTCATCCAACTTAATCAGTTAGCTTCAAAATATCATATATCGTACATACGCATGTTTCTCCATCATGAAAGTGAAATTATGGACAATCTATACACTGAGATACAGTGCCAATTATTTCAGTATCTTAATATTGTCATAACAATTTTATTTTTTGATGACAAACTTCATCACTTATTCTTCTAGATAAAACAACATTTATATTATCTCTAATAGCAGGCTTAGTCACGAAACATAAAAGATACCTGCAGTGTGACTGAGCATGTCACATTGTCAGCATTAGCTGACGCTTTGTGTCCTGCTGACAACTTTCCAAATATAGCCCTAAAAAATAAAGTTAACAGACATTCGCATACATTACGTTATGCAAATTTTAGACAGACGAAACACTGCAAAGCCTAAAACGCAACTTGAAGGCTAATACTCATTCAAATTTGCAATTCACAGACGTGTCAGATCAAACTTATCAAAGAATTAGGATTAACAAAATTATTCCCTTTGATAAATTTTATTTGGGCATTTAGAAGACAAATTTCGCGAGATGATATCATTTCGTAGTTCCTTCACAATCGCTTACAACTAATATGGTGAACATAATAAAATGAAATGCGTGACAATTACTCAGTTATACAAAACAAAAGTACATACTAGTGATGAGTCATATTTAAATAGGTCAATTAGTCCATGGTAGGCGAAGGTTGAAGTCTGTTGTATTTTGTAGACATAGTTTAGGATGTAAGTGTTTCATCCAAAGTGCTTCCATCGCCCTCAAAAACCTTGAATTAGTGTTATGTTAAATGATTGTGAAGCAGCCATTAATATTAACTTTGTGACCTGACATTATTAAATGCTTTGCAATGGGTGATGCTGGATTTCTATTCTGATTAATTGCATTGGGATTTTCTATGTTTTAATAACCAGTTTAGAACATGATCTTTTCGACGTCATTGGAACATTCTATGAGTTCTACCTGTATAGATGTCATTGCAGCTGTAGGTGAACTTGTACATACAGTTTAAAATTGGGTCCACAGAATGTCGTCCTTTAATCGTAGTTGCTGGGATCGAGAATATTCGATATGTAAAAGGAGGAGATGCGGCGTAGAATGTGAGCTTGATGGCTCACTGAGGTCTTTGAACTATCACCTGCGTAAATTGATCACCCTTGAATGGTGGTTTAATCAAATACTTGCTTCAGTGTGTATATGAATAACAATAAACTTCAGCCTTCGGCTATCATGTACTATCTGACCTATTTAAATATGATTCGTCATTAGTATTCACCTTTGTTTTGTATAACTGAGTAATTGTCACGCATTTCATTTTATTAATGTGCACCATATTAAATGTAAAGCGATTGCGAAGAAACTACGAAATGATATCATCTCGCGAAATTTGTCTTCTAAATGCCTAATTCAAATTTATCAAAGGGAATAATTTTGTTAATCGTAATTCTTTGATAAGTTTGATCTGACACGTCTGTGAATTGCAAATTTGACTGAGTATTAGCCTTTGAGTTGCATTTTGGGCTTTGCAGTGTTTTGTCTGTCTTAAATGTGCATAAGGTAATGTATGCGAATGTCTGTAAACTTTACTTTTTAAGCAAAATTTGGAAAGTTGTCAGCAGGCCTCAAAACGTCAGCAAATGCAGACAATTTGATATCCTCAATCACACTACAGGTATCTTTTATGTTTAGTGACTAACTCTGCTATTAGAGATAATATAAATGTTGTTTTATATTAAGATGCTGAAATAATCGGCATTGTAACTCAGTATGTGGATTGTCCATAATTTCACTTACATGATGGAGAAACATGCGTATGTACGATATGAGATATTTTGAAGCTAACTGATTAAAGTGGATGAGATTTACACCAGAGAGCTTGGTGTGGAAACAGCATTTCACAGTCTAATTATATCGTTAGGTAAATAAGATGGCCATCAAATTCCACTGAATGTGATAATCAACATAGTCAAGAATACACTATACCTCATAGTAGTGTATATTTCTAACATCTGGTGGTTTATGCAGTCACAATGGTGAATAATCCAAATAATCCAAAAGGCTGTGTGTCAAGTGGTATTTTTCTGAGATAATTAACAAATACAACAGCGAATTTTAGAATCAGTTGTGACGTAGCAAACAGTGATAAAATCGTATTAACAGCAAGATGTCTGATAGGGATAACAACAGTGACCGTCATAAAAATTAGCTTAAAACGGTCAGAAATATGTGT